TTTTTAAAAATATCCTGGTAAAAAACAGTGAAGGTCACAACTCCATGAGGCCCAGGAGAACAAGGTGAAGTCACAACAGATGCAGCAGAAATCCAGAAGATCATTGATACCTACTTCGAGAATGTGTACTCTAATAAAATGGAAAACACAGAAATGGACAAATATCTAGATACATATAAATTATGAAAGTTGAACAAAGAAGACAAATTCTAAACACCCCAGTTACAATCAGTGAAATTGAAAACATAATTAAAAATTTACCAACAAAGAAAAGCCCAGGTCCTGATGGCTTCACTGCTGAATTCTACAGGACATTTATTGCCACTACTCTTTAAACTTTTCAGTGAAGTTGAAAGGGAAGCAATGCTTCCAAATTCATTCCTGAAAGCAAGTATTATTTTGATTCCAAAAGCAGGGAAAGACCCAAACAAAAAAGAGAACTACAGGCCAATCTCCCAAATGAACATAGATGCAAAAATCCTCATTAAGATACTGGCAAGCAGAATACAGAGGGTCATCAAGAAGATCATACACCCTGACCAAGTTGGATTTATTCTAGGGACGCAAGGATGGTTCAACATATGTAAATCAATAAATGCAATACAGAGTCAAGGAAAAAAACCACATGCTCCTCTCGATAAATGCAGAAAAAGCATTTGACAAAATTCAATACCCATTCATGACAAAAAAAAAAAAACCTGCAGAAAATTGGAATAGATGGACTTTGTCTCAACTTGATAAAGGCTATCTGTGAAAAACCAAGAGCCAACATCATACTAAATGGTCAAAAACTGAAAACCTTCACACTAAAATCAGGAACAAGGCAAGGCTGTCCACTATCACCACTCCTATTCAATATAGTTTTGAAACATTAGCCACAGTAGTTTGACAAGACAGAAATAAAAGGATAAAGATAGGAAAGGAAGAAGTTAAAACTGTCATTATTTGCTGATATGATACTCTACATAGAAGACCCCAAAACTCTGCCAAAAGACTTAATTGACAGATACAGTAGAGTAGATGGATACAAGGTCAACACTCAAAAGTCAATAGCCTTGTACACAAATAACAGACTCATTGAGAGAGAAATTAGGGAAACAATCCCTTTCACAATAGCATCCAAAAAAAAGGGGGGGAATATATAGGAATCACTTGAACGAAAGAGGCAAAAGACTTCTACATTGAGAACTGCAATACTCCGAAAAAAGAGATTGAAGAGGATATATGAAAATGGAAAGAAATCCCCTGTTCCTGGGTAGAGTGAAAATGACCATACTTCCAAAACTGCTGTATGGATTCAATGCAATCCTGATTGAAATCCCTACAGTATATTTCACAGAACTAGAGAAAATAATCCAAAAATTCACTTGGAATCAGAAGAGACCCAAAATAGCCAAAGCTATTCTAGGCAACAGAGACATGACAGGGGGTATCACTATCCCCAGCATGAAACTATACTACAAAACCACTGTGATAAAAACAGCATGGTACTGGCAAAGAAACAGACCTGAGGATCAGTGGAATAGATTAGAAGATGCAAAAACAACCCCAATCATACTCAGCTACCTCATCTTTGACAAAGGAGCCAACCATTCTCACTGGAGGAAAGAGAGCCTCTTTAATAAATGCTGCTGGAAAAATTGGATTTCAACTTGCCAAAGATTAAAACTAGACCCTTATCTTTCACAATGCAGTAAACTAAAATTCAAGTGGATAAAAGGTCTAAAAAACACTAAACTTGCTGTAAGATAGGCTATGTAAGAACTCTTAAAGACAATGGTGTGGGAAAAGACTTTATGAACAAATCCTCAGCACAAGAACGAGTGGAAAGAATCAACAACTAGTATCTCATATTTTAAGATGAGAAACCACCAACAGAGCTAAGAGACAACCTACAATGTGGGAAAAAAATTTTTATCAGACAAAAGTCTACTATCTAAAGCATAAAGAACTCAAAAAAATCAGATTCCCCCAAATACTAAGACCCAATTCAAAAATGGGCATCTGAAATGAACAGACATTTCTCAAAGAAGTAAAGCAGCAAATAAACATATAAAAGAATGTTCAACATCACTAGTAATTTGAGAAATGCAGATGAAAACAATGCTGAGATTCCAACTCACCCCAGAAAGAATGGCTGCTATCAAGAAATCAAACAATAACAAATGCTGGTGGGCTGTGTGGAGAAAGGAACCCTTCTCCATTGTTGTTGGGAGTGCAGACTGGTGCAACCTCTGTGGAAATCAATATGAAGATACCTCAAACAACTAGGATTAAAAGTCCCATTTGACCCAGCTATTCCTCTGCTGGATATCTTCCCAAAAGAATTAGAAGAATCATACCTCAGTGATATATTCTTACCCATGTTTATAGCAGCACAATTTGCAATAGGGAAACAACCCATTTACCCATCAACTGGAGACTGGATAAAGGGGTGTGTGTGTGTGTGTGTGTGTGTGTGTTTTAATGAAATGGAGTTCTAAGCCATAAAGAATGAGAAACCAGAGACATTTTATAGCTAAGTGGATGCACATTGAGGCCATACTCTTAAGTGAAATTCATAGGACACATGTAAATACCAAATTGTTTCTCTGGTGTGAAAAACTGAAATTGTAAATAAGGATCAAAATGTATAATTGATTTGGTGTAATAGGAATAAAAGGTCTAAAGGAGTGGGGGAAATGGGAGGGGTAGGGGAAAGGTAAGAGGGGAAAAGAAAAAATATGATAATGTTACCAACAGAAATCACAAATACTTAATTCTAATTACAGCTATTTCAGGCACCTTGTTTATGTACACTACTTTTAAGTTGTTAATTCAACATGCTGCTAAGTGTTATTTATTTTATTAATGTTTGGTGTTAGGTTTTATTATATCTCATATTTAAATATTTTGATAAATTATAAGTCAACTTTATTCATTTCTCATGCAAACATTTAAACTATTATTTTGAGAAATAACTTGTAGGCTTTTTGGGTTTAAAAAGATATCTTGATACAAAAAAGGTTAAAACGCCTATTTAAAGTGAATTTTTAAAAAATGTTATCTAACTATTTCATTCCCTCCTTAAAATGCTACACTGGCTGCCATCCCTGACCGTATCAGGTATAAACTACTTAGGGAAATGTGAAAAACTTTGATTGGGTGTCAGCTATCCCAGTAGCCCTATTGCTGATCATTCATACCAAGGGCCTGTTCCTCTGGCCCTTTAGAACTGTGTGAAGGACCTGGAAGCCACTCCGCTCCGTAGTCCCTGTATGTGTAGACTGTTTTGGAATGCTCTTCTTCCTTCCCCACTTATTCTTTCTCCTTACCCTTTAACTTCTATTCATTATTAAAAACTTCTAACATCACCTCCTCCTTTAAGTCTCCATGGACTTCTAGGTTGACTAAGGGACCCTTCCTCCCTTTTCCACAGCACTCTATGTAAGGGTCCTTGGGGTTGTGGACTGTCCACTGGGCACCATGTGTTCCATTTTATTAAATTACTTCTGTTTGCTTTTTTGATCTCGCTAGAACTGTGATTTATTTCTCTCCTGTCTTTTCTGCATACTACTTACATTAGTGTCTACAAATCTGTGAAAGGTAAAATGTAGTAGCACACAAATATGTACAGAATTGATCTCTTGTTTCAGAGTAAGAATACCAGAGACATTCAAAATTATTTTTTGTCCCACCTCTTCTGGTAACAATAGAAGAAGCATTACTCCTTTATAAGGCTGAGTGACAGATTGTGTAGGTAAATCTACTAATGGAGCGATTGGGGAGGAGCTTTGTGGTTTTGGAGAAGGATGTATACATTTTCCCCTCTGGAGTCCCTTGATAAAGGCTTCAGTAGAGGTGAGGGATGCTCTACTAAAAGGACTTTGTTATTGAGGGCAAGGTTAGGACTGTAACCCACGAATTTCCTCTGGGTAAACACTGGAACTACCAGCACTGCTGGAGAGAGTTTTGGGGGCAAACAGCACATGTGTTAAAATGTTTTTTTGTTGTTGTTGTTTACAGATTATTAGTAGTTTGTGGCCACATAAGTTTTAGTAATAGGCTATTTTATATGTAATTGCTATTGTTATTCCAAATGCAATTGTTATTTTATATGCAATTGCCATGCCTATAGAGAAGCAGGAATTAAAATACAAAGAGAGAAGACTCATTAAAGATTTGGATGGAATAAATGAATGAATACATGTGGAGTTCAATAGGTCACTTCCAACTGTCCAGAGTCCTATTATTATCAAATATCCTACTGTTTTCACATTCATCTGCACTGACTGTTAGATTTCAAAGGGATTCCTGATTTTACCCCAGGCTTCCTATGCTACTACTAAATTATATGAAATTGACTTTTGAATGCATGAATACATCTGATTGTTAGGATAACTCTCCATTGGGTATCATTCCACATTTTAAGATAGTATTATAAATGATGACAACTACAGTAGTCATCTGAAGCCATATTTATGACAAAATATAGTTAATTGAAACAAAAAAGAATTTTAAAGTAAATATTAAAACCATAAAAGTATTAAAAGAAATGTAAGATGCATTTTAGAATAAATAACTCTAGCTTTCATCATAAAGGTCTAAATTCTTAAACCCACAAATTAAAAAAAAAAAAAAAAACAGCAACATACCAACAACCAGTAGAAAAACTGAGCAAAGGATAAAACCAAACAATAGAAAAGGAAATACAGATGAGCCTTAAGTGAAAAGATTAATAACTCCACTCAAAATAGAAAAATGTAGTTAAAAAAATCATGATCAGATACCATTTTTCACCTGTCATTCAAGCAATATGAGTAAGAGAAGTATGAGAAATAAGTAATTTCATATGTCACTAATTGAAATGCAAATTGGTACAACCTCTAAAAGTAAACATTTTAGAGGGAGGGCACGGACAAGGGGAAAAAATGAGAACCAAGACCTGTCGTGTAAAGGTACAAGATCCCAATAATGAACGTAATTGTACTGTATACCTAAAATGTACCAATAAACTCAATAAAAGGAAAAAAGTAAACATTTATTGTCTATTAAAATTAGAGATAAGCATATCAATTGATGTTGCAAAGGAACTCTTTCACAGGCAACACATACAGTGTGGTTCCCTTCCTTCAGAACACAGGGGCATTGTCATGTAAACTAAAGCAGCCTTCTTATAACCATGGAAACAACTCAAGAACCAAGAAAACACAATGAAAATGACAGAAAGAAGAGGTGGGTGGTATTTAGGTCGTCATGCAGATTATTGAGCTTCTGATCATACTGTACGTAGAGCTGTCATATCTCTTATATCTGGCTTATATAAATCACATATGGCATATATGTATATATGTTATGTATATATCTATACACACCACACATAGTATATTTGAATTTGCATAAAAATTACTATATCCACTATAAATATTTCCCTATATATGAAATACATTATTTCCAACTTTATTTTTTATAATGGAAAATTTAATAGTTTGACAAATTTACAGTAGGAAATAACATAAGTAATTTCTTAAAATAGCAATTGCATTTTACTAAAATTTACATGGCCATAAACTACTGATAATCTGTAAACAAAAAAAAATTTTTTTTAACACATGTGCTGTTTGCCCCCAAAACTCTCTCCAGCAATGTTGGTAGTTACAGTGTTTAACTCAGAGAAAATTCGTGGGTTACAGTCCTAACCTTACCTGCAAATTTGGCCACAAAGTAATTTCTTTTTATTATTGCATTGTTTTAGTATTGGGCATCATTTTCTGAATGAGGTCCAGGAAGAAGACAAATATTAATAGAGTAGTTCTCAATAGTGTATTTACAAAGCAGAAATGGTGATACAGCATGAGGAGGCTTGAGGTAAAAGCTGAAGTCAGTTTTGCAACAATTAAAAAATTACATTTTTTCACCTCTAAGTTATGACATATATGAAAATTGTATCACTATATTTGTGTATATCATGTATGCACCTGTCATAGTAACTCTTTTAGTCATAAGTCTTTCTGAGCATCACATTCCCCATTTTAAAGTTGAAGATAATAATATGTAGTGTGCTTTTCTCCTTTACATGCTCATGTGTCTTATCCAAGATCCTATGAGTTACTTATTCTTTACCAAGTTGAACAAGATAAATGTGCACACTAACCAGTTAATATATCAATTAAGACTGTTGTCAAATTCCAGCCCTTGTCACAAATGCTGGTGCTGAAATACCACTTTTTTTTTTCAGCTCACTTTTCATAGACTACACATCTATACCAAAAAAATTAGATCTCCTTCAAATTTCAAAAACCCAATTTAAAAAATGGGCATTTAAAGTGAATAGACATTTCTTCCTTTTTTCATTTCCTCTGTGCATGTATTTAATTACTTAGCATATAACTGCTACACTGTTACTCAGAAATGGCTCAAATGTATCCTTGGTGGCTGAGTCATTTCTAGGAAAATGGGTCCATAATGCCAAGTAAAATAAATCAGACAGAAAATTAAATTTATTGTGGTTTCTCCTATATGAGAATCCCAAAGTATAAACAATTTGAAGAGTAAAAGAAAAGTGATAGGTAACAGGGAGATAGACTTTGTAGAGATGGAAAAGGAATCTAAGGATGGGGGAGATGGGAGAGGAGGGGAAGAAGTAAAAAGGATCAAGATGCAATACGTATATAAATGCCAATTGTATATTACAAGAATATACTAATAAGTTTTGTAAATAATAGGAATGCACTTTAGCCTGTGAGCCACAGGAATATGGCTAATTTTCCTTATCCTGTGCATCTGCTTTAATTCTGCCTCATTCTGGAGCTGTAAGGAACTTGTTTACTGTAAGATACATATTTAGAATTGAGGACAATTTTACTAACTTTCTCAGGGCATATCTACAAGGAGCAGGGACTGTTCTCATCTGCTCTTTTTCATTATCGTTTATATCCTATGGCACCTGCTTGGTTCAGAGCCCCAGAGGACCTGGGATTCCTCAGCAGAATCTTTCACGTAGGATGTCAGCAGCCACATCATTCACTCCATTACTTGATTGCCTGAGAAGTATGCAGCTTTTCAGGAAGATATTCTTGGAACTTGAAACCAAATGGTTGCCTCAGTGACCTCTTGATTATTTCCAATTAGCAATTTGGACTTTTCCCACAGCCACTTCATTGTGCTTAGTAAAGTGGTGGTTTATGCTTGATTTCCACTTTCAGCGTTCTGTCTTAACATTATTGGCCTCTGATGGCGTCATGTAGGCAACTTTCTTGTGTTGATAGGTTTGTTTTTTGCTGCTTGAAGGTAATGCCAAAATTCTGTGTTCCTGGGAACAGAGCCAAGAGACATTTAGCTTCTTAGTCAGAATTAGTGCCCGTGGGAGCGGATATGGGAAACTTGTGGAGGATCTGTGGCCAAAACCGCATAATCAAATTTTGTCTGAATAGGATCCTTCATAAGACATTAGGAAAAAAAAACAAAACTAAAAACTAACACTTGTATAAAAAGTTGTAACAGAATAAATTTGAATGGTTAAGAAAACAAAGAAAAATTAAAGAGGTGAATTAATAGGCTAACCTTTTTACATTTTTTTGTTTAAATTTATTTTTAAGATTAAATCAATCAGCTGGGTGTGGTGGCACATGCCTGTAATCCCAGCACTTGGGAGGCTGAGGCAGGAGGATCGCTGGAAGTTCGAGACCAGCCTGAGCTACATAGTGAGTTCCAGGGCAGTCTACATAGTGAGACCCTGTCTCAAAAAGCAAATAAACAAACAAAAAAGATTAATTCAATCCATCAAGTGTTGGCCTTTCTCAGAATGTCCACAGATCTCCTTTGGATCAGAATCTGGGAATATGTCTCAGATTTCTATAAATTAATTCTATGACTAGTATTTTTCCTATACTGCATATATAGAGCTAAACCCAGAAAAATTTAAGCTCAGTTTTTAAAGAAAGTAAGTATATATATTTGTGTTTCATAAAAGCACAATCTTTGTTATGAAGCAGAAATAGCATTATATTACTAAAAACTTTCCTTCCTTACAGTAATCCAAAACTGGAATCACTGAAAGCTGCACATGTATGTCTGGTTCATTGTCAAGGTATACATTTCTGTATCAGGAATAATTAGTGTAATGTTAAACCTGATGTGAACTATTAAACCTTTATAAGCTATACTGTGAGAAAGTTGCCTGTCATTGTTATACACACAATTTATGCCTATAGACAAACTGGACAGCCCCATGTATAAGATCTTACATTCATTTACGTGTTGTATTCTTGTTAGGGTATGATACTCATTGAGATATTTTGATATGCAACCTATTAGAATTATTTAAATGTTACCTCTAGCTAGTGTTTTAAATGACAACAAAGATAACCTTGCCAAAGATCATGCATGCTATTTTATGGGACTGTATTCAATTTCCAAACACTTACCTCTGCACGATGACATGTAGACATGAATGAACTAAATTTAGTACCATTTTGCATTGCCTGACATCTTATTCAGAGATAGTCAAATAAGTAGAGTTTATTTCGATATGTTTTTCAGTGAGTAAACTGGAACTGAACTGATTGGAAATGAAATATCAACACTAAATGTCAAATGCTAGGCAAATAGTAACTTACATATCATTACCTATGGTTTAATTTCTGGTATTTAATTTATGGTATTAGTAGTATTCATGTGTTTATTTTAAAAAGTGATCATTTGCTATTCTAACTGGATTTTTTATGTTATAGTTTTAATATGATTAGAATGAACAACAAAATTAGTATTAGAATTTACATTTATATTACTATATAATAATATAAATGGTTAAAGTTACATTTTTATTAATTACTGGTTATGTACTTAGAAATTATATCATAAGAAAAATTTAACCAACTCCTTCATTAAACTTAATCACCACTTTATGTAAATTCCTAAACTGATGGAGACAGAGAGGAGGGATCATACCAGAAATACTCATATATGGTGTTTCACTTAGGATTTCCAGGTCCTCTTTAGTATTTTGCTGTTCATTTGAAAATTGGTCTGCTGCATGCTCAGATAAATGTGCCAGTATCATTGAGTGCTGAGAAAATGATGCAGCTTCCCTGTGCTCCTGTGGCTTCAGTAGAATTTGTAACTCTAGGACCATACATATACCCTTGCCAAAGGCAATGCATTTGGAAATTGAACCTATGAAAAAATGTAAATAGTTTGCAGGTCAAGATACAAAGAATGAAACAAACAGACCAAACTTGTTCTTGCTTTTGTATGTGCGGAGGAACTTGACCAGAACCAATTTAACAGGAGTTGTATTCATGAAAGCTAGAGTAACAGACCTGAATTTCCTAAACCAACTTTTGCACTAAACTACTAGAATTAAATAATAAAGTGAGAATCAGAAATCCACATTCAAGCCAGGCACTGTGGTGCTCAACTGTAATCCCAGCACTCAGGAGGCTGAGGCAGGAGGATTGCTGTGAGTTTGAGACCAGCCTGGGTGACATAGTTACTTTGAAGCCAGCCTAAACTACATAGGGAGACCCTGTCTCAAAAAGCAAACTAACAGAATGAAATCCACAATCAATGATGTCTCTCAAAAATGTGAAAAGTTTAATATAATTTACATTATTTCTACATATTGATGTAAGAAATTATTTTACTTATCAGTACAATGAATTAACAAAATCTCAATTTACAAAACAAGTGAATTAATGCAGAAATATATTTATTATCAAATTATAAAATAAAATTAACAGTTCTTACTGTGATACCATGTTTATTCATTTTAGATAATAGTGTTATCATTTTGGTATGCATAGTAATAAGTATTAAAATAATGGAACGTTGAGATTTGAATACAATGACAGTAAACGATTGAAATTTCACATTCACATTATACAGTCATCATGAATTCATCAGTGAATGTTAATCATGTAAAAAAATATAAAATGATTGTAATATAACCATGTAACCGTTAACCTAAGGAGTTTTAAGATCACTGTTTAACCTGCTCATTTGCTCTGAAATATAAGCAATTGCTTTTCTGTGATACTCGACATATTTTTGTGCCTTAATACTTAATTTGAAATATTCTTAGTGTAAAAATATACCAAAGTAAATAAAAAAGGAGACACTTATTTACAAAACAATATTGTATACATATTATATAAATGCAATTGTTTCAAAGTCTTTTATACAATATTGATAGAATCCATCATTTGTTATTTTACCATAAAACTGCAATGTTGCAAAGGCAGGGTATAATTTTGAAATTTTGATACAGATGTATACTACTTGGCTGCCTTTTAAGAATACACAGCTTCTCCAAGTATGCTGTAGAATCAAATTCTGACCCCTAGAAAAGTGATTCTTCTTTTATTAAAGAAAATCTATTCCCCATTTGGAGGTGTATAAAAATGCACCTGAAGAAAGGAGAAAGTTACTGTTTTATTCAATACTTTTAATTTGATAAACCTGACAACATCAGCCACTCAGTCTACTATTAGCACCACTGGCATGGATTGTTAATATACTGTCCAATCATAACAGGAATGGAAACTTGCACATGGTACCATCACTATTTTTGTGGTGTCTTACCAAGTATGCTATCATACAATATAAATTCAAGTGTATAAGGATGTTTCAAATGATGGTATACAACAGTCCTATATTTTATCAATACTATATATATAAATATATGTATATATATATATATATATATGGTAGATTTTTCTGTAAGTATAAGTGAAACTGTAAAGAAATAGACTTCAAAGCATATTCCTTTTATTCGCCAGAACACAAGGAGAATAGCTTCCATTTCCTTGCCTGTGTTATAACTGTATGAACATAAATGTAATTTGATCTCGTTCTAGTTCAGCAACTCTGGAAATTGTAAAATTTCCTGTTATATGATTTATTTGGATAGTTAAATGCCAACTATTGCATATATTCTCTCTTTTGGTTCATATTCTGTAGCCATGCTTAAGTAACTATGGTGTACTGTAGGCCTATAGCCCATGATACATAAATTTCACAGTTTCAGGATTGTTGAGGGGAAGACCTTCCATGCTTTAGGAAGTTATGAATCTAGTATAAATCTCATGAGCATCCACACCGGTCTACTACCATGGCTGGAATTTTCCCATATATTATTTGTTCTTTGCCATTAAAATATAGCATATTAATTGGAGACATTTTTGTGGGAGTACAGCAAGGACCTGCTGAACCTCTGGGGTTTGCCTGGTGTACCAGGTGAGTATGAGGATATTTTTGTAAAAATACAAATTCACATTCTCCAGAGCAATAATTGGCCTTGTATCTTTTGGGTGCAATAATCCAATCCCATCCAAAAGCTTCAAAATCCACTGTTAGAGGGTAACGACAGCATCGTGATTCTGTTGAATGTTCATCACAGTCAAGACCAAAATCTCTTCTGGATCTTTTTGGTGTATCTGTTACTTTGACCTCTAAAAAGGGATTCTGTATGGAAAGGAAGAGCAATTAGTAATATTAATAGAGCCTGAAACACTTTCCTACATTAAGAAGTCATTAGAAGAAACGAATCATCTTGTTTATGCCACATTTTTTTAAATGCAGTATTAACGGAATTTTAATTCAATCTAAGCCTGATTTTTTCCCTTGTGCCTCAAAAGAGTGTAATAGCAATACAGATTTCATTCTCTGCGTTTGTAACTTTTGTTTTTCCTATTTTAAGTGTCAGACTTCCTATCATAAAACAGATCCCTTGAAAATATTATGGGAAGAAACTGAGGTGTCAGGAAGGGAGGAGACGGAGCGGTTGCTTCCTCTCTTCATGACTGTTGAGTACAAGTGTTGGCTAAATATGTCTGATGATTCTTGGAGAGAGAAGTGTGCTCATCCGGCCTCTCTTCTGCAGGTCTTTACTAGGGGCGACTTGGATACCAAAGCGAAGTATCTGTCATCAAGTGGCATAAGGAGTGTGATGAGGAAAAGAAAAGTAGGGTGAAAAAGGGAATTTTATTTATATTGGGTTGGAAAAAAAAAAAAAACCTAAGAGGGGGAACAACAGATCCGTAAGAGTTTCCTTTGTTTTTTCACTGAAAAATATTTCTGTTCAAATATTTAAATAATAATTTGCTAACATTATTACTGCTCCAAACTTTCAATACATTTGAAAATTTACTTTTAAAGGGAAAAAATCCAAGTAATATATCATATTAAACACTTCATTAATAATAAGTAAAACCTGTCACATTAGCAACTTTGATAATTAGAATTATTACCTAAAAACATTTCCTTAAATAATTGTTAGTAGCTTTTATCTTATATCAAAATGAAAATAAGCCTAGTAGTTGTTGCCAAAAAATATCACTTTGAGAACCAATAATATTCAGAATAGCACATAGAAAGAAAAATAGTATATTTAGAAAGTGTATAATCTTTTAAACAGTATGTTTTTGTTCATAGCAGAATTGATTTGCTAATTATATAATCTTTATAACCAACTTCATTTAAAGATTAAAAAAGATAATTTACAATTTGTTTCTTGTTATCAAGTATAACCTGTTTTAAAGTATGCCAATAAATGGAAGTAAAAAAATATGGTCATATTAAATAAACAGAAGCCTTTCAAAATAGAAACCTACATATGCCAGCAGGGTAACTTGAAGTTTTACATAAGGTTTTGAAATGGTTTTTATTTATTTTTATAGTATCTAAGGTATTGTTATAGGTTTGGCCTCAGTTATTGGCCTTCCCCAAGTAAACTCTTATGCAAGAATGCTAAGACACAGAAATAAGCTAGATTGTAAAGGTTAACTAGCTTAGAAATGAAAATTTTGGTGCTGGGGATTTAGCTCAGTGGTGCCACCCCCTGCCTCGCAAGCATAAGGACCTGAGTTCGATCCCCATGTATCAAAAAGAAATGAAAATTTTATTGGTGGTATTCCACAAAAATATCTATGTATCTATAAATCAGTGTATTCAACTTTTTGCAAGAAATGAACATAATTATAGGGAGGGACCCTAAGTACAATGTATCTCATTCTATAGGAAAAAATATTTTATTTTAATTATAATTTTGTGTGTTTTTTCTGCTTTATACAAAGCCAGAAATTTCCAACACATTTGGAAGAATGAAAAATTGAGAGGAAAAAGTTTTAATTTTAGCCAATTATATAAAGTTCATATTTTATTCATATAATCATGTATCATATCAAAGAAAAGCACTTTATAGATCGTTCCCAATCTGAAGGAATCCTTACAAAGTTAAGAATCATGGTATCATTGTCTTTAAAAAACTTTTTGCAGAGTATCAAGGGGTTGTTTCATAGGGTATAAAATTAGACACCTACTTTTATTGGGTACAGGGATACTGTTGGGCTAAGATACTGTTGTCTGGCTTAGGAGTACAGGAAACTGGTAGTTATTTTCCACTATTATTCATTCATATTATAAATAAAAACGTGAGGTTATTGGAATATTATTTTCAGTTATCACTTACCAGTCCATCTTCTCCCGGTCCTGGGAAGGTTACAGCAAGATCATGACCATTCTCATCCAAAGCTTTGATTTCAATGCCTAAGTTGGATTCAGGTTGTTTGAGCCAATTTTGCAACACTGTCTTCACATCGATGCTCTGCCAAATACCAGTGCCTGGGCTCATGTCAAGTTTCAGAGATCGGATTCCAGTATACCTTGTACCGTCTTTCATGGGTTTGATGAGTCTCAGGATTTGCACAAATACTGTTGTGGAAGTCTTAACGGGTCTCAGATATATCCACAGTTGGGCCTTTACCACTTTATTGTACTGTATTTTAGAGCTAAATTTAAAGAAGCAACATTTGGGTTTTCCTTCCACTTGCATAAGGAAATCAGCTATAAATGAATAAGAAAAACTTTATTAAGATTATTTCTTGTTTAAAAAGTGAACAAAATCCCCTCAAATTAATGGATGTACCTTTTCCCGTTGGGGTAATGTTTGCACATGTACTGTTTTAAAATGAAATGCCATGTTAAAAATATCAAATAAAATAATTACTCCAGATTTTCAGAATTTTAGTCATATGAATTTTCAGCTATTTATGAGGAATCTGACTCCCTTTCCAAAAAACTATGGACTAAGGGAGATTTTATGAAGGAATGAACAGTGGATGAAATGTTCAAATGATGATGATTAGAGAGAACAAGAGACACTGTGAAGGAACATCCACTTAGAATTCCTTGGGAATCTGAGTAGTTACACTCACGGAGCAGCTGCACCAATCAGTCTGGACGAAGGAGCCCTTCCCCCAGGCCTGAATTACCTGGGGACTAGACACACTGAGCAACTAACTTAGCCTCGGGAATGAGCAGAAAACATAGTTCATCTGTCGTGTGTCAAAAGAACAAAACTAAGCAGGTAATTAGCACAAACATTTACATGTCATATTCAAGCATTCTTAAAAGTTGGAAGATTTTATCTCTAGGGGCATCCTGTCACTGTAAGCACAAACAATTGGCATTTTTTTTTCTCTTTCTGGGTTTTCCCCCCTTGGTTTTCCAAAATTATGTATACGTAAAGAAAATCTGCTCTAGAACTATTTGTTAGCAGTCTTAAATGAGAATTTATTTGTTTTATTCTAATCTGATCATTTGATAAGGGAAACAATAATGTGAAAGAATTTCGAGTCTGGTGTAAAGTATATAAAGCAATGTAGTAAAGCAAGATCACAGACACATGGCACAAAAATCTTTCTTGTCATGCTTTCTCTGTCAAGGTGCCTGGCTTCATTTCCTGGACAAAGCATTCCTTTCAGCTGACTGAAAAAAAAAAGGAATTTTATGAGATATTTTATCTTTCAGAAGCTATCATACCATAGGTAGTAGTCCTTCCTCTTATGAAGAATTAGATTATTAAGCAAGGTGTCTGCCTGGAAATTTGCTGCCTGGGTACTCACAGCAAGAGTATCTTGATCAAGGTATAAGTAGGACACTGTGAGCTATCACCTACCTGATTAAAATGTTTATTTCCTAGGCATGTTCTGATATTTAGCTTATGATTATCATTATGCTTTCTTTACTTCACCTTGCTCTTACTAATATTTCTTTTCAGTGTAATAGCTTTTAAAATTTCTTTTCAGGATAATAGCTTTTAAAATTAAATATAATTTGTGAAGAACATAAAAACACTATGAGAGATAATTTTGAATGTAAGAAATTACTCTAGCTGTGCAGAAGTGCTCAAATAAACATATAGCACATTTCTTCATTATTTGTGAAAAAACTTAAAAATGCTTATTTTAGATCATCAAAAACAATTCTGAAATTTTATGTAAGTTTCTAACATAGTTTTAGATAGTGTCTCAGGCCTTTCCTTGACAGTTTAGACAGTGAAAGCATAAAGCATGTTCTATTTTCCATATTAGACTAAATAATATTAATGCTGTGCAAGCATTTTAATTTCTAGCTTTTACTCCATAAGAAAACACCCTGTATAGATTTCAGTCTTAAAACATTTCTCACAAAATCTTGAAAAAAAGAAACCCTTTCTCTCCTGCTTACGTACAAGCCAGCAGCTTGTTAAAAGAGCCTGAAAATAGATCTGTTTCTCGTAAACACTAGAATAACAGTCAGCAGGATTGTTGGTACACACTAACAGAAGTACTTACACTCTGTAGGCATGGTGATGACTGTTTCTGTTGTAGCATGGTAATCATCATCTTCCAAAGAGCCATCACTGCTGTCATCCCTCTGGACATCGTACTGATCAATCAGCTCTCGAAGTGGAGGAGCTTTGGGTAAAAGTTGTCTTATAGTATCTTTGCTGATGTTAGGAGCTGCTTCCAGGCGAAGTTTACTGAGGATTTGAATTTTGATGGCTTCTATTCTTGAATATTTAGTGTTTTGTCTCCATGTGCATGCATTACACAGCCCCTCTTTCTCCACATTTTCTTTTTGCTCACTGTTCTCATTTAGATCCACTGGACCGGCAACAATCAGCATAAACAGGTAAATATAAACATAGATTTGCAGTTTTTTCATGATTTTGAAATCAATCCAATCTTTTTCCTGGTTCTTATTTCTTCCTTTTACTTTTGCTTTTGAGTAATGCCAAGCAAAGTTTTAATGCATGTATAGTCTGAAAGACAACTTGCCACACCAGTGAATCGTTTATACTGTAATCGAAGTGGCTTTTTATATTCCAACTTAGATGAGACAAGTGTCGTCAGGATCTATGATTGGCTCTTGCTCCACAATGAATCTCGCTGTCAGAGGTTAAAACCCTGTCTGTCACAAGTCACCAAGCAGTATTTTGTTACAGTCAGGGGTGAGCTGATGCATTTGACTACTTCATAGAAGAAATAAATCCACAAATAATGAAAGATATATGTGACATCTGCAAAATTAAAGCCTATGTTAATGATATAAACTAAATTTAAATCTTAATCTCTATAAGATTTATGATTTAAATTATTTTTTAATTTATGCTTCATACTTAAAATAGGAAATGTTACTTTCTCAAAAATTAGAATTTTATGTTTAAACATGTATTTGAAGTAAAAGATTTTATATGTTTTATTAAATTATTTTTAGTGCTATATAAATTAAAAAATAAAAATTAGGAAGGCCTGAAATAAAAGAAAAGATTGTGGAACTAGTGAAAGATTTTCATCTATAATTTGAGAAACTTGTTTTCTGGACTAATTGCTTAGTACATATTGAAAATCACTCTTATTATAATGTTATGTTGTGCATGAAATTACTTTTAAATAGCTTAATGTCTTCTATTAATAAAATTATGCTTAGTTTGGACAGAATAGTATTATGTTTTTCATATTCTAAAGATGCCGATTAATTTCATTCAGATGGGATTTTTCATTGTTTGTTGCCAAGAAAATAATGTCAGCCACTGGAAAAATCTTTGAAGTTAGAATTGGAAAACAATGGATTTTTATTTATTGCAGCATTTGTTACAGTTGGGCTTATACTTCCAGTATAAAAGTAAAAGTGTAATATCTATTTTCTATACATTTTATCAAAATATTATGAGCACATAAAAGAGAAACCGCCATAATAGAGGAATGCCCTTGTTTCCCAATGCTAGGGTGGGCTTGCGCCCCTTTGCCAATTTCTCGTTTTGCCCAGAGGGCAGACACCTGGCAGGGATAAGGGTAAGATCTAGCAGTAGAGAATAGAGCTTTTTGTTTTCTAAATTTAAGTGGCCTCCATAGGGATCAAACTCTCACCCTTCGCTTTGGGAGCCACAAGATCAAATCAAATGAACTATTAACGAGCTGAAAAAACACAGCCAGTGAAGAACAGAAGATGTTTGCAGGCCACAGGAGATTTCTTCTTACTCCTTTTTGGGAAGCTAAGGACTCCTAAGAGATTTAATCCATTACTTTTTTCCAAAGAAAATGCAGTAGCTCATATCAAATATTTATTTTTTAGGCCACTACCATTTTTACACACTGTACACCAATTTACTGCCTCAGTGCACTAAAATACAACTCAGTGGCCTGAAAAGTTAATGTATTTTCATCAAATTCTTAAGAGACATCTATATCTCTTGAGAAAAAAATGCCCTTACATAACGCATTGGATTTGCCCATCATTAAAGATTAAGGAAAACCAGACACAAGACAGATGCCCTGAGGGTTTCACATCTTTGTGTGTGTGTGTGTGTGTGTGTGTGTGTGTGTGTGTGTGTGTGTGGCAATATTACATTAGGCTTTAAAATTTTTATTTGTTTGAAAAATCTGTTTTTTAATATGAGAGTCTTTGTAATACTGTAATCATTGTAACATTCTTCTGTACATTTCTTAGAGATTTTTTGTTTTGTTTTGTTTTGTTTTACGTGCTTAAAATTGCATAGTAGTTGAAAGCATAGCTCTGGAGTCAGAGACCTGAGTTCAAGTCTAAGCTTACCACTTCTAACTACATGGTCATGAGCGACAGTACTTCATTTCTCCTTGTAATGTACGAAACGCAGCCGCTGCCCTCTTGTAAGCAACTGATAACTTGTCCTTGAGTGCCCGCTTATTGTTTCATGCAGAGGAGCGTGAAATTATGCTTCATTTATGCTCCACATGAACTAAACTGTTTCGAGTCATGGCTGCCAGTTAATTATCCATAGTCAATCTCTCCAGGACTCCGAGGCAGAATTCTCTAAGGCAGCCCGTGACATGTTTCGCCTCCGTGTTTTTACTGCCTAGAATAAAGTAAGCTTCTCGTTATTCATAGATCCCATATTTGCAAGTTTTCTCACTTGGTGATACTCCTCATGCTTCTATGGTCATTCACGGACATCACTGCACAGAGAAAAGCTGAGGCTTCTGACCCACACCTTCCCAGCGGAGGCCAGACATGGCAGCACGCTGCCTCATTTTTCAGCTCTCAAACCATGAACAAGTGCTGATGTTTCGGTCTATTTCGTGCCATATTTTTAATATTTTTTGTGCTTTTTATTATTGTCGCTGATTTAACTATATACTTTAAAATAGTTAAAATGGTACGTTTTATGTTATATATATTTTTAACAATTTTTAAAAAGCTACAATATATCAGGAAAAAGTTTTCCTTGTGAAAACTTTGTGTTAGATAAGCTTTGTTCAGGCGGAGCGCTTAGTACTGTGGGCTGTGAATTCAGTGTTAATGAATGAACACTGTACAATGTGTTACAGAAAAACACAGCGATTGTTTATATTTTTAAAAGGTTACAGTAAAAGACACATTGCCACTAATTCCCCTCAAAATACTCCTCCCGATTCGCCCATTGATAATTCTTGCTCCTTTCTGAAGCGGTTTGTGAAGTCCTCTTTTTTTGCGAGTGTCATTAGTTGTTATAAGGTGGATGCCTTGGTATCCTGAATCAGTTAAAAACGTTTACCTTTCATGATCATTTTGGGGCAGAGCCGAAAGTTGCGTGGCGCCAAACCCAGTGAACAAGGTAGATGAGGACGCGCCGTAGTGGTTTACGAGCGAGCCTGCCTCTCCTTGGGACGGCGTTGGGCAGCGGCCCCGTGTCGATCGCATCTTGTGAAGACGTGAAAATGACTCCCAGAACTGTGAAGAAGTGGCGAGAGGGAGCGCTGTGCTGAAAGCGTTTGAAGCAGGGTGGAAGTATTTTGGGAGGAATTAAATACAGTGCTTTTCACTGTAATAATTTTTAAAAATTAAACATTTTCTATATATTTTGATTATCCCTGAGATAGTTAATCGGGTTCACAGAAACACAGAAAGAGCAAGGTGGTATATGGGTCGGCTCATGAAAACTGTGTGAGTAGAGTTCACCCAACCCTGTATTTTCTCAAGGAATAATGGTTCAGTATTTGCTAATTTAATGTGAGCAATGACTTCAGACTAAGGTAACTATCAGGAATAATAAGAATTGATTGTATTTAGTCACCTACTCCAGAGGACGTTATTGAATGGGTTAAGAAGTACTCGAGCAATTTTACTTACTTTTATTCCTTCCCCAGCGGCAGAATGCAGCCGTCCACAGCTTCAGAGCAGGAGGGCTCCCCAGCTGGGCCCCGTCACTGCGAAGACTGCAGGGGCTGCCCTGAGAGGAGGCAGGACAGTGAGACATTAGGGTGACGGAGGAGAGGAGAACTTCCGGTTGACTGGGAGAGCTTGGTCTGTCGGGCTGCTCACTGCGTGCCAGATGAGCATCTTCAGAAGCAGCTTCTTTCGGGAATCAGAGTCCGATGGACTTGTTCTCCTCTGTACTAAGTGGGCTGTTTCAGGCCTCACGTTTTCTCTAACCATCAGTAAGGTGGCAAATAAACCACTCTGGTCTGTGTTACAAATATCCATGGGTGATCTCAAGATTAAGGGTATGAAACATATTTTTTAAAAAGAGGGTTATGATTATACTTTCTATATTCTGCATATTATTGATTGTACTGATGAGATTGTTATGTCTCACAAAAGGAGGAAGCAGGACTTAGAATGGTTCATGAAAAATTAGACTTTTAGGAAAACACCAAGAAAGTTGTATTTTATCTGGACATCTTTTCCATCTCTCTATAATAACCCTTTGTATTACTCCATGATGATTATTCTTTTTTGGGGGGGCGGGTACTAGGGATCGAACTCGGGTCCTTGCACTTGCAAGGCAGGCCACCGAACCACTGAGCTAAATCCCTGACCCTCTCATGATGATTATTCTTAAAGACAAAAAATACTAGAGAGTGCTCAAATCATATAACATCATAAGAAAATTATACCACATTGATAAGAATTGATTGTCTTTAATGTATTATAAGACAAAAACTTAAAAAGAAAATTTGGATGTATTATAGAGCTAGGGAGCAAAGGTATAGGAATAGAAGACAGAAGACCAAGATATAGTTCTGGATTTGCTGCTGAAATAAGCCATTTAGCCAGGCTGGGTGTGGTGGTGCATACCTGTAATCCCGGCACAAGGGAGGCTGAGTCAGGAGGATCAGGGGGAGTTTGATGCCAACCTGGGCTACAATAGTGAGTTTAAGGCCAGTCTAAACTACACAGTAACACCCTGTCTCAAAGAAATATTATCAAACTTTATAAATATATATCTGTCCATATGTATATTGATCTATTTTATGAAATAATTGAATCCTTATTATGCACCTGGAATTATGCTAGATTCTGAATATAATCAATGAACCAAACAGACAAATCATTGTCTTGATGAAATCTGTGTTCTAATTTCTTTATAAAAAACAGTAAATAGTACTCAGTGTGCCCTTCCAATTGAAGCTTATCCCCTAAGGCAGTAACCCTGAAACTTTTTTTGTTCTCAAGATGCTTCTTAAAAATTGTTTAGAATCTCCCAGATCTCGTGTTTCTGTGGGTCCTGTCTATTAATATTTAACATATTATGACTTAAAGTTGAGAAATTTTAGTTTACAAACATATACAAACATTTATAGCCATCCAATGGCTATGTCAGCATATATCATGGTGCCTCTGGAAAACTCCACTGTAGTCATAAGAAAGAATAAGAGAGAAATGCAAAAATAATCCTAGAATAATTATGGAAATAGTTTTTACTTTACAGACTCTCTGGAAAGGCCTTGGGAACCACCCCAGAGTTCTAAGACTACACTTTGAGAAACATAGTCACAAAACTCTCATCTTTACACTATGCTAATGCCACCCATATGACTCGAAGTCCCCTTCCTCCCAATGCC